CAAAATGTTGATTCTTTCATATTAATCTGAGGATCATTTAAATTGGTTGCTTGAATTGGATCAAACTAAAATGAAGAATATGCGACTATATCAAACATGTATACTTTTGTGTTTTATTGATTTTAATAATTGAAATGATTATAAAACCAAAGTTGATAGTGTTGAAACTTTGATGTATTTTAAGAATGTAACTGGAAAATGTCAAAATATTGATTATTCTATGTCTATTTGAGAATCATCCAATCTATAATGGTAACTTGAATTGAGTTAAACTAACAATAAATTTGAGAGTAGTTCAAATAAACTTGTTTTCTGACAAATTTTATATAATTATTTTTTTTAACTATATTGATTAATAAATTACTTTTATCAAATCCATATTGTAAGTGACATATATCAGTTTAAATTGACAGATGTCAAATTATTGATTCTTCTATATTAATCATTGAAATTGGATGATTTAATTGGATTAAACTAAACAAAGAAGATGCCCGTAGTTCAAATACATGTATATTGAGACATTTGTATTTCATTGATTTTAATTGGTTGGTAACTTGAACTGAGTTAAACTAACAAAAAAATTGAGAGTAGTTCAAATAAACTTGTTTTCTGACAAATTTAATAATATAATGTTGACAAATTTGTTTTTTGACAAATTTGATATAATTATAACTATATTGAATAATAAATTAATTTTATCATTTTTATATACTTCAGTTTAAATTGACAGATGTCAAAATATTTATTATTTCATATTAATCTGAAAATCGTTGAATTTGGATTATTTCATTGGAGTAGACTAAACAAAGAAGATGCGAGTTGTTCAAATAAATATATATTAAGATTTTTGTGTTTTATGGATTTTAATAATTAAATAACCATAATAACAAAACCAAATTTGAAAATGTTGTTATTTTAATCAACATTCAGAAACGTCAAAATATTGATTGTTCTATAGTCATTTGAGAGTCATCCAACTTGAATTCGATTAAACTAAAGAAAAGTTGCGAGTAGTTCAAATAAACTTGATTTCTAACATATTTCACATAACTATATTGAATAACAATTATCTGTTATAAAATATTCTTCTTCCTTTATTAAACCTCCACTCGCTTGTGATCATATGTAGATGTGTATTACAACAAGGTACAACACACAAAGGAAATTCATATTATAAGTGACATATATTTAAACTGACAGATGTCAAAATCTTAATGTTCTTTGTTCATTAAATAACAGATATTTAAATTGATAATGTCAAACGATTAAATCAAAAGAACTTATAAATAAACTTGTTTTCTAACATATTTTTTATAATTGTTTTTTAACTATAAATGACATATATTTAAACTGACAGATGTCAAAATTCTATTGTTCTGTATCCATTATATAACAAATTATCGTATTTCATCGAATTATTTCTTTAACTATCACATAAATACTTCAAAAGTTAAGTTAATTTGTAAATGATACAGCTAAAATGCTAATGTTCATTTACTGCTTTTAAGATTAATTAATCTATGTAAATATAGAAATTGATATAATATATGGTAACATAAATCAATCAATTATTCAAATTTTTGATAATGTTATGTTAATAATTGAAACACAAGAAAATATTTATTTGCAATGTACAAATGAGATTGTTGCGACATCTAGCGATTAATACTTATTTTGTAAATAATAAATGAATTAACAGATGGTTGAGTTGTAAATGGAATCTGTTGTTAATTATAATGGATGTATATAAAAGTGTGTAGAAAAAAATAAATAAGGATAATTAAATTTTTAATTACATTAATTGAAAGCTGGTATCAAGGTGAACGGCACTGGAAACGTAATTCATTTTCTTGTTAAAATAAAAAAAAACATATATATGTATCTAGAAACGTAACAAATTTTACGTGTCAGAAGATAGGTGTGTCATGAATTCGTTTAATTTATAATGCATACATGTGAAGTCGAGGAACTAGGTTGAAATGCTAATGGATTGCAAAAGATTGCAAAACGAAGAACTCGCATAATTTTGCAAATTTAATGATAGTTTAGTAAAATTATCATTAAATTTTACATCAAATCTAATCAAAATGCATAAGAAATATTACTCCATTTTTTGCTTTATTTAATATTATTTTTTTTAGTATATTTTTAATAAATTTAACAAATTTAAGTTTGAATCAAGAAAATTTACCTAAAATTAACTAAACAAAATATTATTTAATTGAATCTGAACGTTAATTACGTAATGAATTGTCCAAAAGACACATACAGTAGATAGATTTACTTTTGTTGATGAGATTTAAACAATATCTGTAAATAATTGTGTTTTCAACATAATATCAACTAGATATGACAAAAAAAGTGTAAACAGACAATGAGTTTGCTAATGATTGTAACGTCGTGTTTCCAACAATTATCTATTTAAATTTGTAGCGATGCTATCGATAACACGTTTACAAATTAGTCAGGCATCCGATGAATGGTTTCCACGGCTATTTTGAATACAACTATCTTCGCATAATCACGACTTGTAAATCTCGTTCTCCGTCACTTCATAACTCGTATAATAAATATATATATATTATATACACACATTATTTTTATTTAATGATCAAAGTTTACGATTCGATCTTTATAATCTCACCTTTGGATTATAAACGAGTATTTATTATTACGCGACATCATTCATGTATCGTATTGAACTTTATAAATTGGATATTGTTGTTCGTTGATTATTTGACAGCTTGCTTTACGTCATAAATTATGCAATCAATTACACATATTTTCGTAATTGAATTTGTACAATTCGTTTTTTCATAATTTGTTAAAGCTATTTTTTATAATACTATGTTATTATAAAGTTTAACGTTCGTTAATTATTTGACAGTTGACAGTTTATTAAAGTTAAACATCTTGAGTATTTTGCTTTGACGAAAGGTGTTTTTTTTGACAAAGTAATATTTGTTATATTTACATAAAATTTAAAATTCTTGAATTACAATTACTTATTTTACTTAAGTCACTACATGACAGATTGTATCATTTTTAATTTTTGTTTGACGTTCATTGCTTATTTGACAGCTTCCAAAAGTTATGCAATTTTCTCGAATGGACAAATAGTGATTTTTATGAAAAAGTAAAAAAAATTCAAAAAAAAGTTTATTGTTTCATCACGAGTTGGCGTTTAATTATATTGTTGTGTATTTATGCTATTTATCATTGTTTGTGCATCTTAAATAATAATAATTGAATATTGTTAATTGATAATTAATATACTCGAATGGACAAATGTAGATTTTTATGAAAAAAGTCCTTAAATTTTTATTTCATTGTTTCAACACGAGATGGAGTTTCGTTCTATTTGTGTATTTATATTATTTATCATTGATTGTGCATCTTAAATCATAATAATTGAATATTGTTAATTGATAATCAATTTACTCGAATGGACAAATGTTGATGTTTATGAAAAAATCCTTAAATTTGTAGTTCATTGTATCAACACGAGATGGAGTTTCATTCTATTTGTGTATTTATTTTATTTATCATTGATTTTGCATCTTAAATCACAATAATTGGATAATGTTAATTGATAATCAATTTACTCGAATGGACAAATGTTGATGTTTATGAAAAAGTCCTTAAATTTTTAGTTCATTGTATCAACACGAGATGGAGTTTCATTCTATTTGTGTATTTATGTTATTTATCATTGATTGTGCATCTTAAATCATAATAATTGACTATTGTTAATTCATAATTAATTTACTCGAATGGACAAATGTTGATTTTTTATGAAAAAATCCTAAAATTTTTATTTCATTGTTTCAACACGAGATGATGTTTCATTCTATTTGTGTATTTATGTTATTTATTATTGATTTTGCATCTTAAATCACAATAATTGGATATTATTAATTGATAATTAATTATCTTAACAATAGTTATTGTATGTATCGAATGTACAGTTGAAGAAACGATTGTATAAGGCTGTACTTGCCATACCATAAATTATCGACGGTAAATTACAATGGAGAAGATGCAAATGAAGGTAGTGTAGAATTTTAATACGAAACGGCAATGATGAAAATGGAAACCGAAAGCGAGACGAGTTACGGTCGTGTACGGTGCTGTCGTCGTGGATAAATGAGTCTGCAGCGCCAACACGATCCTGAAATTTCTGCATGGGTTAGGTTAGGTTCTGTGTGCTCTTTCAATTGAAGCATCCACGTTTTGTTTAGCGCCATTAACATAAGTTATCTTCGTGCTCGCGCGAGAACCGAACGTCGTGCATGTTCTTTTTCAGGAAGTCGTTGAAACCATTCACCGGTGCTTTTTTATTTGACATCTCTACGCTAAGTAAGGAAATGTTATGACGGTTTAACAGTCTGTTTCGCACACTTCACGCATATACATCGACAATAGCGACATTGACCCATGCGCACATAAACTACAAGTGTCTTATTGCTTTATTATAGTAAAGAGAGGCGGATATATCCGCCCTAACCTTTATAGAGGAGACTTTGCTTATGCCAAATTTCTTGATTCTTCAATTGATTAGTTCATTTATACGTCAAGAGATGGCGTACCATTTTAATTGGATTTTAATTAGATTGCGGCAGAAAAACGGGCATTTATTATTCAACTCATTGAAATACTGAATTTAAGCAATTATAAATATTTGATATAGAAATTATTATCATATTGTACTATAAAAATATTTAATTACTTCAAACTTAGATCTTTTAAAACTATTTTTATACTATTGCTCACAGGTTGCTTAACTTTAAGAAGCTGTCAAGTTAACGTCAAATGGTATAATATTTGACGTTCATCAATTATTTGACATTTGACAGCTTCTTAAAATTAAGCAACTTGTGACCATTTTACGCATTTTGAGCAAAAATATTTTCACATTAACTTTTAATATCCATATAAAAATAAGTCCAATAATTAATATAACTTGGATTTATATTAAACTGGACTTTTGTTGATTTCAGTTTGGTCCTGTTGTCAGAGCGAAGGTAAATTTTGCGAGTTGAAAGTGTTTATTTTTTTTGTGCTATAATTTAATTTTACTTTATTTTTACATGGCTAATTACTAATTGCAATAATAAAAAAACAACAGTTTCGAGTGTCTTAATTATTAAACACACTCACCACTACTTAATCGTTCGTTTTCTTCTTTTCGACCGTTCGTTTGGTTGGCGTTACGCAACGCCGTAATTACCAAATAATCGGCAATTATGCAATCGAATGAGATCACTACTTCCTTCCAATTCTCTTCACTACAATTGTTAATTTTACAGTGACATGATTCCGAATGGTTGACGCTCGAACAACACAAAAAAGACACACAACAGAACTTTCTACAAAAACGAAACGTGCAAATCAACAATATGTGAAAAATAACTGTCATTCAAAAGCAAAATTTAATTAGGTTTCTACACGTTATTATTAATTATATCATATAATTTGTAATATATTGAAAAATAACTGTTAACAAAATTATGTGTATTAAATTTTGAAAATTTCATTGATTTTGTGTATAAAAAATTAATTGATTTTATTTATATAAATTTCAAAATTTAATTGAAAATATTAACAAACGAAAACAAACACTATTTTGTGTAGTAAAATGTAAAAACTTAATTAATTTATTACAAGTTGTAATTAAGTATTTATTATAATAAGAAATACAAAAACTTCGTAATTCTTTTCATTTTGTGTATTAAAATTGTGAACATTTTATTGATTTTCTATACGTTATTAGTAATTATTAACTGAGAAACACAAAAACTATGCAATTTTGTTCATTTTGTGTATCAAAATTTTGAAAATTTGTTGATTATCTACACGTTATAATTAATTATTTGTATAATAATTAACAAAGTAACACAAAAAGTCTGTAATTCTGTTAATTTTTAATAGTAAAATTTGAAAATTTACTTGATTTTCTACTCGTTATTAGTAATTATTTCTTATAATTATTAACAAAGGAACACAAAAACTATGCATTTTTTTTCATTTTGTGTAGCAAAATTTTGGAAAATTTGTTGATTTTCTACACGTTATAATTAATTATTTGCTATAATAATTAACAAAGTAACACAAAAAGTGTGTAATTCTGTTCATTTTTAATAGTAAAATTTGAAAATTTACTTGATTTTCTACACATTATTAGTAATTATTTGCTATAAATATTAACAAAGGAATACAAAAACTATGAAATTTTGTTCATTTTGTGTAGTAAAATTTGATAATTTAATTGATTTTGTGTATAAAAATTTGAAAATTTAATTGAAATTATTAACAAATGAAAACAAACACTATTTTGTGAAATAAAATGTAAAAACTTAATTAATTTATTACAAGTTGTAATTAATTATTTGTATAATAATTAACAAAGTAACACAAAAAGTGTGTAATTCTGTTCATTTTTAATAGTAAAATTTGAAAATTTACTTGATATAAGTTATTATAGTAAAATTTGGAAATGTCATTTATTTTTAGACTTTATAATTAGTTATTAATTATAATTAACAAAAATTGTATGATTCTGTAGATTTTGTGTAGTAAAATTTGAAAATATAATTGATTTGTTTTGCGTAATTATTAATTATTTTCAATATTCAATAAAATTAATTGCTGATGATCACGTGGAAAGATTGTTTCGTCTTTTCGTTTGAACTCGTACAACAACTGCAGCGCGATTAACTTGTTAATTAAAATTTAACGTTTCACGTTAACCCCGATGGATGATGATGATGACCTTTAACGGGTTCGGGTTTCATGAAGATGAGAAGCCGTGCATGCGATGCGATTACCTTTTTGGAAGCGGCGGATTCTATTTTAATTGGCTAACAAATTGATTGGCGATTCCATTTGATCAGATGAAAAATCCCGATATTCCAATACCAAAGATGGTGGTGGACCGGTGGTAACGTACAACATTCAGCAGATAATCTGAAGAGAGAGAGAGAGAGAGAGAAAAAAAACGGAAAATAATGATCCAATTATAAGAATAATCTGCGGCCATACGCGAAATACAAGAATGAGGAAGGAATTCTAAAAATAAGGTCGGATAATAAATGAAGCAAATCCAGATGGAAAAGCTACAAGGAAACGAAACGTTCTATCAACGCGAAATATCAGAACAAGTAGGTATGCGAATAAAGTACAGTTTTAGTGGAAAATTTTGTGTTAAAGATGAAACTAATGTGCGATGTTTACAAGGTAATAATTTTATATTTTGAACGGATTGATATTTAAGTTTAGATGTAAAATTATGGATTGTAAACTAAATTTTATAGTATCCATAATAAATACATATTGATCGCAGTTTTTCCACGAAAAATAAGGCTATCTTCTTTTAATTTTGGAATTCTGAAAATTTTCGAAAGAATCTTGACAAATTTTATGATTAATAAAATTGATGCTGGATTATTAAACAAATTACGATGTAAAGAAAATTGTTCAAGTGATTGTCTTGAAAATTTGAAATATTAATAAAGAAATTTCATTTACAAATTATGAAAAAGTACAATTTTTCTTTAAGACATTGAAGATGGGGATATTGTTATCATTAAGTATTTGCTGGTTAAGTTTTGTAGCTGTGTTTTTTTTTTAAATATCAGGAAAACCGAGTAATAATTTGGTAACTACATATAAATAGACTTATCTTGACATTTTCTTGCAGACTTTATATAAAGATGGCAACATTTCTAAATTTTTCCTAAAATGTCATTATTTTTTAATATTTCTACGAAAAATTTTCATAGAAATAAAATATTCGTTAGTATTTTATGTAATTATTATAACCTATCCTAACCTCTAACCTATCCGCTAACTTAAACGCTAACCTAACCTAACCTAACC